TCCTATAGTTGTTTATATCTTACCCTAACTCCCTCCTCTATTCGTTTATACACCTTCACCTCTCTCTTACTTGCTGCTTCTATTTTCCTTGTATCCAATCTACCCTTTACTCTCACTCTAGCTAAAACTAGAAAGTGATCTGATATATCTGTGGCCCCTCTATAGACATGTACATCCTGAAGTCTACTCAACAGTTTTTTATCTACCAATACATAGTCCAACTCACTACTGTCATTATGCCTTACGTCATATCTTGTATACTTATATATCCTCTTTTTCTTAAAATACGTATTACCTATAACTAAACCCCTTTCTATACAAAATTCAATCAAAGGGCTCCCATTATCATTTACACCTGGCACCCCAAGCTTACTTTCCACACCCTCTCTAAATGCTTCTTCTACTTTAGCATTTAGGTTCCCTACCACAATTACTCTCTCGCTTGGTTCAAAGGTTCCTATACATTCGCTTAACATCTCCGAAAATCTCTCTTTCTCCTCTACACTCCTCTCTTCTCCAGGTGCATACACACTTATTATAACCCACTTTTCACATCTGACCCTCATTTTAATCCACATAATCCTTAAATTTACACATTTATATTCCCTCTTCTCCTTCCATAGCTGGTCCTTCAACATTATTGCTATCCCTTCCTTAGCTCTAACTCTCTCAGATACCCCTGACTTAATCCCATTATTTCTCCCCACTGAAACTCGCCTACCCCCTTCAGCTTTGTTTCGCTTAGGGCCAAGACATCAGCAATCATCTCCTTCTTTTCATCTGCACTACATCCACTCAACATTCAAGCATCCCAGTTGTATAAAGGAGAAGGGGTTACTAGCCCATTGCTCCTGGCATTTTAGTCGCCTCATACGACACAGATGGCTTACAGAGGAAAAAATCTTTTCCACTTCCCCATGGATAATAGAGAGAAAAAACAAACAAGAACAAGAGCTATTAAGAAAAAGAAGAAAAACCCTAGATGTGTGTATGTATATATATATATGCATGTGCATGCCTGTGTAGTGTGACCTAAGTGTAAGTAAAAGTAGCAAGATATACCTGTTATCCAGCGTGTTTATGAGACAGAAAAGACACCAGCAATCCTACCATCATGTAAAACAGTTACAGGTTTCTGTTTCACAATCACCTTGCAGGACGGTAGTACCTCCCTGGGTGGTTGCTGTCTCCCAACCTACTGCCTATGATGATTATTATTATTATTATTATTGTTATTTCTTTCAACACACCAGCCGTATACCACCGAGGCGGGGTGGCCCAAAAGGAGAAACGAAAGTTTCTCCTTTTAAATTTAGTAATATATACAGGAAAAGGGGTTACTAGCCCCTTGCTCCTGGCATTTTAGTCGCCTCTTACAACATGCATGGCTTACGGAGGAAGAATTCTGTTCCACTTCCCCATGGAGATAAGAGGAAATAAACAAGAACAAGAACTAGAAAGAAAACAGCAGAAAACCCAGAGGGGTGTGAGTATATATATGCTTGTACACGTATGTGTGTAGTGTGACCTAAGTGTAAGTAGAAGTAGCATGACGTACCTGTAATCTTGCATATTTATGAAACAGACAAAACACACCAGCAATCCTACCATCATGTAAAACAGTTACAGGTTTCTGTTTCACAATCACCTGGCAGGATGGTAGTACCTCCCTGGGTTGTTGCTGTCTGCCAGCCTACTGCCTATTATTATTATTATTATTATTATTTTTATTATTATTATTATTATTATTATTATTATTATTATTATTATTATTATTACAATATAAATAATTTGTAATTTTTATTCACTCAAAAAATAAAAGATTTATTGTTATGCAGACTACTGCATTATTGTAATAATTGTATAAATAACGTCAACCCATTCACGATTGCATATATGAATGCAAAGTGATGTCATTTGTTTACTCTTAACATCGCCAAAGAATCAAACATTTCTCCTACTTTGAACTCAATTTCAAGGTAATTTTTGTCATGAAACCAATCAAAATCATATTTATTTCTGTAATATAGCTTCCACTCTATCAATTGAGACCAAAAGAACTAGAATACAATCATAAAAATCATACGAAAATACTGCTAAGGGAGGCTAATTGCTGAGAAGTGAACTGCATTATTTTTGGTCCAATTTCTTTCATTTTTGATGTACGTTAAGAAGCATCTTTCCATCAAACATTGCCCAAGTTTCAATAAGATAGTCCAACAAACAAATGAGATCTAGTTCCCTAGATCAAGAGCCCTCACCAGCATCAAGGAACTTCCTTGAGGCTCGCTCGCTTATAGAAATTTCACTCGCGTATGGAAGCAAAAAATCAACCGACCGACTGCTCGTATTTGGAAAATCTCTCACATGGATGCGCTCGCAAGTAGAGTTTCCACCGTATTGCTACGCAAGTGAACGTAGATTTATGTTTGGACAATTTAACGGTTAATTGCTGGACTTTGGACATTGAGGGGGGTTAAGATAATTTATTGGCAGCTCAACTTAAGCATTATGATATTTTCTTCATTTGATAATAATATACTCAGCATTTATACAGTGGACCCCCGGTTTGCGATACTAATCCGTTCCTGAGAGCTCATCATAAACCAAAAATATCAGAAAGCGAATCAATTTTCCCCATAAGAAATAATGGAAATCAAATTAATCCGTGCAAGACACCCAAAAGTATGAAAAAAAACTTTTACCACATGAAATATTAAGTTTAATGCAATAGAATAGTAATTACAATAACAACAATAAAAATAAATAACGAAAGAATAATTGACACTTACCTTTAATGAAGATCTGGTGATGATTGATGGGATGGGAGGAGGGGAGAGTGTGGATGGTGTTAGCATTTAGAAGGGGAATCCCCCTCCATTAGGACTTGAGGTAGCAAGTCCTTTTCCGGGGTTACTTCCCTTCTTCTTTTAATGCCACTAGGACCAGGTTGAGAGTCACTGGACCTCTGTCGCACAACATATCTGTTCATAGAGGCCTGTACCTCTCGTTCCTTTATGACTTTCCTAAAGTGGTTCACAACATTGTCAGTGTAATAGTCACCAGCACGGCTTGTAATAGCTGTCTGAGGGTGATTTTCATCCATGAAGGTTTGCACTTCAAGCCACTTTGCACAGATTTCCTTAATCTTTGAAGTAGGCAGCTTCTTCACTTTCTCTCTCCCCTCCTCCGAAGCAATTTCCTCAGGTGTGGCCTCTTGCTGTTGAAGTTGATCTAGCAGCTCATCAGTGGTTAGTTCTTCATTGTCCTCCTCCACCAACTCTTCCACATCCTCCCCACTAACCTCCAACCCCAAGGACTTCCCCAATGCCACAATGGATTCCTCAACTGGCATAGGCTTCTCAGGGTTAGCCTCAAACCCTTCGAAATCCCTTTTGTCTACACATCCTGGCCACAGTCTTTTCCAGGCAGAGTTCAAGGTCCTCTTAGTCACTCCCTCCCAAGCCTTACCTATAAGTTTTACGCAATTGAGGATAGTAAAGTGATCCTTCCAAAACTCCTTTAGAGTCAATTGAGTTTCTGTGGTCTCTTCAAAGCACCATTCAAACATAGCTTTTGTGTACAGTTTCTTGAAGTTGGAAATGACCTGCTGGTCCATGGGCTGCAGGAGAGGAGTGGTATTAGGAGGCAAAAACTTGACCTTAATGAAACTCATGTCCCCACAAAGTCGCTCTGACAAGTCTGTAGGATGACCAGGGGCATTGTCTAATACCAGGAGGCACTTAAGGTCTAATTCCTTTTCAATTAGGTAATTTTTCACACTGGGGGCAAATGCATGGTGTAACCAGTCATAGAAAAAGTCCTTAGTGACCCATGCCTTACTGTTTGCCCTCCACAGCACACACAAATTAGCCTTGAGGACATTCTTTTGCCTGAACGCTCTGGGAGTTTCTGAGTGATACACCAATAAAGGCTTCACTTTGCAATCACCACTAGCATTGGAACACATCAACAGAGTAAGCCTGTCTTTCATAGGCTTATGTCCTGGGAGTGCCTTTTCCTCCTGAGTAATGTAGGTCCTGCTTGGTAATTTCTTCCAAAACAGGCCTGTTTCGTCACAATTAAACACTTGTTCAGGTTTCAATCCTTCAGCCTCTATGTACTCCTTGAATTCATGCACATATTTTTCAGCTGCTTTGTGGTCTGAACTGGCAGCCTCACCATGCCTAATCACACTATGTATACCACTACGATTCTTAAATCTTTCAAACCAACCTTTGCTCGCCTTAAATTCACTCACATCACCACTAGTTGCAGGCAATTTTTTTACCAAATCGTCATGCAACTGCTTAGCCTTTTCACAAATGATTGCTTGAGAGATGCTATCTCCTGCTATCTGTTTTTCATTTATCCACACCAATAACAGTCTCTCAACATTTTCTAACACTTGCAGTCGCTGTTTCGTAGTCACAGTTGCACCTTTTGCAAGAACAGCTTCCTTGATTGCCGTTTTCCTGCTCACTATAGTAGAGATGGTTGATTGGGGTTTACTATACAACCTGACCAGCTCCGACACACGCACTCCACTTTCGTACTTTGCAATTATCTCTTTCTTCATTTCAACAGTCATTAGCACCCTTGGTCTCGAAGGGTTGGCACTGGGAGCTTTCTTGGGGCCCATGGTGACTTATTTTGCAAAAACAGGCACCAAAAACAGTGATAATATGGAATGTGCCGAATGTATCCTTAGATGCGCGCACACTGGCTGGCTTGTAAACACTGGCACACATGGGGCAGTTCAGGCCACACATGGACACGTCTCGTATGAACCACATCGCATACCGGGTTTTGTATCGGGAAGCGAGGCAAATTTTCTGCGATATAATGCATCGGTTACCGGATTTATCGGATACTGATAGCATCGCGAACTGGGGGTCCACTGTATATGCATTAAATTCTAAACTTGATCTTTTTAATTTGGCACCAGAAATATAAATAATAGAATGAGGTATATTTTGTGTGAATCACTTTACTTTCAGCGTGGAGCCTTCGGGGGTGCCGGGTGCAGCCTCTACGTCACTTTCTGTCATAGGCAGTGAAGCAGAAGCTTTGAAACACGTGCTTGCCTGCTCTCCTCATCCTCTCAAGCAGTCCACACTACTGAAGAAAGAAGTTTGTTATGCCTGTGAAAAACCTTTTACTGGCTTTTTCATCAACTATGGATATAAATGTTTAAGTAAGGAATTATTGAGCATCTTTTATATTTTTAATGTTTTCCTGTCTGTTAATTTCTATAGTGAGTTCTCAACTGATTTTAATTACTATTTCCCTTTCTTAATTACCAAAATAATTGTCACAAAAAGTTTATTTGTTCTTGCTTTTTATGTTAGTTTTATGTTAGTTTCACTTGTATGATGCATGCACTCCCTTTTCTTTTGGAATTTATAATCTTTGTATAATTGTAGATAATTCTATTTTCAAAAATATGCCACCTATGTTAAGTATGTACTGTATATGTAATACAGTTTGGGTATATGCAGTCCTCATTTAACCTTTAACCCTTTGAGGGTCCAAGCCATAGTTCTGCGCCATGAGCTCAGCTCGCTCAGATAAGCTGTGAGCAGTAAATTTGGGCCTAGATATTTATACAATTATTACAGTATTGCATAATAGTAAATCTTCTATTTTATGGTGTGAATAAAAACTCTCTTTTGTAAATAAAAAATCAAAATAGAATTCATTTGTAAAGCCTGGAAATGTAACTGATAAACAGAGGAAATGTTATTTTAGTGCCAGGAATGCCTGCATTATTTATTCTAAACCCTATTATGAAATTGGAATATTTTGAACTCTGTGTGAAATTGGCCAAATTACCAGTTTCTGATCACTTTATTGGGTAGTTGAAATGGTTGATTGGGCAGTTTCATGTGCTCAGTCGATAAGATAGAAGTAATACTAGCGAAATAGCTAAGAATTTAGTCAACTGGAATAATGAAATTGGCCTAAAAATAAAGAGTCGAAATGGACAAAATCATCGATGCGTAAATGTCACTGACACAGTAAAATTCGCAAGTGTAATTTCGTCAATTTTTCCATCAAATTTCGTGCTTTTTATTATTTCATAAGAAAAAATAACAAAAAATTTTTTTTTTTTAAATTCTTGGGCTCTCAAAGGGTTAAACTGCTAGTGGAGGCAAAATGAAATTGTAGTGCAAAAATATTGAAAAAAAAAATAATTTTTCTTACTAAAAATGAAAATTAGCCTTAATTTTACACATGATTTCACAAAAAGTGAAAATTGACTTAAAGCTTACCAAGGAATAGTTGTTTGAAGTTTCTGGAAGGGACCCTCATAAGTGACCCTAATATATGAGCCTTATATGTGAGCTTCATAAGTGACCCTCATATAGTATGAGCCTCGTATGTGAGCTTCATAAGTCACCCTCATATATGAGCTTCATAAGTGACCCTCATATAGTATGAGCCTCATATGTGAGCTTCGTAAGTCACCCTCATATATGAGCCTCATATATGAGCTTCATAAGTGACCCTCATATATGAGTCTCATATGTGAGCTTCATAAGTGGCCCTCATATATGAGCCTCATAAGTGACCCTTATATGTGAGCCTCATATGTGAACATCATAAGTGACCCTCATATATGACCCTAATATGTGAGCTTCATAAGTGACCCTTATATATGTGAATGAATTTATTTGGTGATTCTGGTAGCAGGGAGTAAATGATATGTCTTTGGAGGCTTCTTACTTTATTTGCAAACTCATGGCGGATACACAGGCTTGTGTGTTTGTTCCCATGGCCGGGGGGGGCCATCCCACGAGGGAGAGAGGGAGTAGACTTGTTGACTGCTGCTAGGCCACTGAGTGAGTGAGGGCGAGTGGGACCAGCGTCCCACTGACCTGGGCAGGCCGAGAGAGGGCAGCACCTTAGTGCCGCGAAATATGAACTAAGCTGGCAAACAGCATAGGCTGTCTGTGCAGACAGTACAGGCTGTCTACATACGCTCGGCCACCTACCACATTGTCGTCCTGACCATGTCTGGCAGTAAAAAAAACTCGGTCTCTCTCTCATAGGAACAAGGCACAGAACACAAAATAAAAAACATATATATACATATGGACATGGAAAAAAAAAACTTCCTACAGGGAGGGAAGAAAAAACTTGGGGTGTGCTAAACATCGTGGTCATAGGCAGTGAGCGTCAAGGGGCATCACTGCACGCCTTCCTGCGTCTGGACAGATACTGCAACACAGGAGACATTGCTGCGGCTGAGCTGTGATGTAACGGGGTACGGTCTCCTCTAGAACGGTGAAGCAGTCATCGTAGGAGTCACTGCTGGTTTCACTCAGCCTTGGGCACAACATGCTGGTGCCCTCAAGTGAGGCGTCGACAAAATTCGGCAACTGGGCAGGACTTCTGGCAAGCGACTCAGGAGGACACTTCTCAACTGGTACTGTTGCTGGGCTGTCACTGCTGGCGAGCATGGAGTAAGTCGTGGAGCGAGTCGTGGCAGAGCCGACTGGGCGAAACATCTGGGAGTCGCAACATCATACACCAGACTGCAGTGAGCGAGCTAGCAGTCAAAGTGACATCTTCTTTGTGCAGGCTGCTCACTGAAGCTTGACACGAGGCTGACACAGCGCCTGCCGACAGGGCTGACTGCGGCTTGACAAGTGTCATTCTCTCAGCAGTTGGAGTTATAGCAGAGGTTAGTCTAAGCGTCCCCATACTTCTTTCTCTACATATAACTGCACTCTGAAGGTCTGGAGGTGAAGTGAAACAAATCTCGATGGGAATTGTAGCAGGTACGATTCTGCAGAACATCACGAGCAGCGAACAATAAGAGCTTTCTGTACAAGAGGCTCGGTCAAATGTGCTGGTCACACTGGGCGACTTAACACAGTGGTGCTACTCTGGGGTCTGGGCTCAAGACCACACTGGACACACAGAAAACTTTATACACACCTGTGGTACAACATGGCTTAACTAGCAAATGATGCTTTTCTGTGCACAAAATTGACACTAAGCCATACATTAACATGTGAGAACACTGAGAGGAATTAATTAACACACGACATATATCTTCTCTCAATCTTCTCGACAATACTGACATAATTACTGAAACACTCGACGTGACATCATGTGATGTCAGGCGTGACATCACAAGGTGACGTCAGCAGCACTGTGATGTCAGCAGATATATCAAGGTGACGTCAGGCAGACATCGTGATGTCATTAAGTCGGGCAGCATCGTGGGTGACATCGTGAAGTCGGGCAGCAGCATTGGTAACTCGCATGACTCGTAGATCCACGTGACTTCGTCCACACCCCACGTGGCATCAGGATCCACGTGGTGTCGTGATCTACGTGGAATGCTGATCCACACGGCTTGGTGATCCACGTGGCTTGCTGATCCACGTGGCTTAGCGATCTACGTGGCATGCTGATCCACGTAGCTTCGAGTGGCCTCGGGCACTCGGATACACAGCACTGGCAATGACTTCACACGGAAAACAGCAGAAAACACAGCAGAGGGAGTGAGTACATAGTGGTGGAATGGTAGGCTGGTGAGGTGTGAGTGTACAGCAGGGCGAGGAACGGCCACTTCCTCCTCCTCCTCCTCTCCCACCCACAAACACAGGGAGACACACTGGATGCAGAAATCACCACAAAACTCACCTCTGGCTTGCTGAAATAGCTGTGCTGAGCTGAACAACAGCAGAACATACAAGTGACGCTGAACACGTGACTTGAGAAACAGCATGGGACACTGTAGCGTGGGGTCACTGGGACGCCACTTACAATTCTCGAAGAAATTTGGTAAATTTCGGCTAGATCCTGCTTGTACCTGTGTCTGGATGCTGAAACGTGCAGACACGTCATCAGGATAACTCATTGAGAGACGGATGCTTGTTGTGTAGGGTGATGAAGTGAACATAACTTCATTTCTTCTTCCTTCCGGGCAAACACAAGTGCTGCGACCACCGCTTCCCACCATTTATAACCCATTTGTTTGGTGATGCTGAAAGCGGGGTTCAATTATAGGGCTGCGGAGGGTTCTTCTTGCTTTGCCAATTGTCATAGTAGTGCCTCGTATGTGAGCTTCATAAGTGACCCTTATATGTGAGCTTCATAAGTGACCCTCATAAGTGATGAGCCTCATGTGTGAGCTTCATAAGTGACCCTCATATATGAGCCTCATGTATGTGCCTCATAAGTGACCCTCATGAACCTCATATGTGAGCCTCATAAGTGACCCTCATATATGAGCCTCATAAGTGAGCCTCATATGTGAGCCACATAAGTGACCCTAATATATGAGCCTCATAAGTGAGCTTCATATGTGAACCTAATAAGTGAGCCTTGTATGTGAGCCTCGTATGTGAGCCTCGTATGTGAGCCTCGTATGTGAGCCTCGTATGTGAGCCTCGTATGTGAGCCTTATATGTGAGCCTCATATGTGAACCTCATAAGTGAGCCTCATAAGTGAGCTTCGTATGTGAGCCTCATATGTGAGCCACATATGTGAACCTTGTATGTGAGCCTCATAAGCCTTATATGTGAGCCACATATGTGAGCCTCATGTGAGCCTCATATGCGAGTCTCTTGTGAGCCTCATATATGTCATGTGAGCATCATATGTGAACCACATACGTGAGTCATATGTGAGAATCATAAGTGAGTGATATATGCGAGTCTCATATGTGGGCCACATAAGTGAGTCTCATATGTGAGCCTCATATGTTAGCCTCATAAGTGAGCTTTATATACGAGCTACATAAGTGAGCCTCATGTGTGAGCCTCATATGTGAGCCACATATGTGAGCTTCATATGTTAGCCTCATAAGTGAGCCTTATATGTGAGCTACATAAGTGAGCCTCATGTGTGAGTCTTATATGTGAGCCTCATTTTTTTTCTTTTCTTTTTTTTCAACAAGTCGGCCGTCTCCCACCGAGGCAGGGTGACCCAAAAAGAAAGAAAATCCCCAAAAAGAAAATACTTTCATCATCATTCAACACTTTCACCTCACTCACACATAATCACTGTTTTTGCAGAGGTGCCCAGAATACAACAGTTTAGAAGTATATACATATGAAAATACACAATACATGTATATCCCTCCAAACTGCCAATATCTCAAACCCCTCCTTTAGAGTGCAGGCGTTGTACTTCCCATTTCCAGGACTCAAGCCCGGTTATATAAAATAACAGGT